GACCCACGCTGAACGCAGCCAGGAAGGGGGTCCACGCCAGCTGAGGAGGGGGAGAGAGAGTGTGTGTGTGTGAGGAAAGGGTGTGTGTATGAGGAGAGAGAGTGTGTGTGTGTGTGTGTGTGTGTGTGTGTGTGTGTGTGTGTGTGTGTGTACCTTGAACATGGGTCTCACGTGCTCCAGGTGAGTAGCACTAGTGAACGGAGCCTGAACGTGGCTCACTGCCTCCATCAGAGCTTTGGCTGTCTTCGCCATCTGCTCCATCTCCACGTTATAAAGAAGACGCCTCTGCTTCTCACTGGCAACACCTGACACACACACACACACACACACACACACACACACACACACACACACACACACACACACACACACACACACACACACACATTAATAAACTGCAGTGTATATTGTATAGTATATGTTGGTTATAGTATAAGGTAAGTACGTTTATTTATAAAGCACATTTTCGACACAGACAACACAGAGGCAATTCAAAGAGCTTTACATCATCATTAACTTAATAAGAAGTATAAATATTAGGGCTGTCAGTCGATTCAAATATTTTAGTGCTTTATAAGCAATAACATTTTAAAATCTGGGGTGATGTGATCTACTCTCTCTTAGTTTCGGTCAGATTATATATATATATATTTTAAGGGATTATCTACAAAGACCAGCAAATGCACTGTTACAGTAATCAAGCCTGCTAAAAACCAATGAGTGAATTCACGGGCTGCAGCTTGAGGGTTGTTTACTCTGCTTGTTGGACTTCAGGGTGAGTTCCTTCGTTTCCTTCATGGCGATCTTTTTCCCGGCGATCTCGTCGTAAATGGCCGACAGATATTCTTCCGGCAGGTCTTTGCTGTCGTTGATGCCGCGGTTCATTTTGATGTACTGCTCCTTGGTCATCTTGTTCTTCACCTGTGCAGAAACAACGACAGGTGGGTAGGGGTTAAAGGAAGCCAGGTGTGTTCATTACACTGATATATAGCAGCTCACGTGCTAACCTGAGGGCTGTGCAGGTCTGTGGTCAGCATGATGATGGAGTAGGCGAGAACGTACGCCGTGTCCGCGCTGGCAAAGAGGGTTTGTCTGGAAAACACAATACGTATTAATATGAGGATTATTCAACGTGTAATAATATATATAGTAATGAATACTCTGAGACTCACCCCTGGTTGCAGTCCAGATATCGAGCGGCAAACTTCTCCATGAGCCGGTCGATCTTCTGAGCTTCTCCTGGCAGACGGAAACCCTCGAGGAACGTCCGGAGCGCCGAGACGAAGTCTTTCCCCTGGAAGTCCATCTGATCCACGTAGGCGTACATCACCTCCTTGTTGAAGCGCTCGTTGTCTCCCAGAAACTCCCCCACCTGGGTCTGAAGAGGGGGGAAACAGGGGAGATTTCATATTTAATACATTTCAATCATAACAAGAAGGAGAATCTGAATAATAACATAAAGTCCTGACCGAGTCCAGCCTCTCCTCCTGGTGCAGGAACTGAGCCAGGTCTTCAGGTGTAGTTCCCAGCATGCCTTGCTCCTGCAGGTACTGGATGCCTCTCTTTGGTTTCTTGTTGAACCTGCAGCAGAATCACAGTCAGTCACAGAGACAGCAGAATAAAGAGGGATGTCAAACATGTGTCCCCGGTGTGTCCCCGGTGTGACCCCGGTGAGTCCCCGGTGTGACCCCGGTGAGTCCCCGGTGTGTCCCCGGTGTGTCCCCGGTGAGTCCCCGGTGAGTCCCCGGTGTGTCCCCGGTGTGTCCCCGCTGAGTCCCCGGTGAGTCCCCGGTGTGTCCCCGGTGAGTCCCCGGTGTGTCAAGAGACTCACAAAGTGTCAGAACATCAAACCCTCTCTCTTTTACCCACATCTCTAAAAACGGGGAACGACGGAGAAATGTCGCTATCAGAAACCAGAAACCATTTTTATATATTTGTATCTGAGACCTAAAATATATCCCTGGAAATAGTATGATAGGAGACCTTTAAAGTGTATGAACTCTTACAGGTCGATGCCTTGCTCGATGATCTCTTTCTGCTGCTTCAGGACCTCGAACTGTTCGGGGTTGTCGGTGCCGGACATCTGCGTGCTGTAGCTGCCGATCCCCGAGGAGGCCGTGGAGTCCAGAGAGTTGATGCTGCCGTACCTATTGATCGTCTCCGGGGCTTTAGGCTCCGATTGATCCTGCTCCACCGGCTTCTCCTGGCCTGAGGACGCCAAAAACACAGATCCTCAGAGTTAGTTTACTGACAGGAGGGGAGGGTTTATAATGCAAGCTTGCAAAACTAGGGGAGAGACTTGAGTTTCTAAAAGGGAAACTGCAACACAAAGTGACCCCGAGGCCTCGTAATGGAAGCATTTTGCAGGCAGAGGCGTGCACATAATCCTTTCTCACATGCAAGGGTGCAAACTAGCAGGGTGGGTTTCAGGAGAGGAGGGGTATCTAAGAAACTTGCACGGTAGCTCAGCCTGGGTCTTTTGGCACGTTGGAAACTCTTAAACATTCAGGAAGAATCACAGGAACCTGAGCTAACTGTCTCATGACTCATAACGTGTTTCATTCATCACACAGGGTGGTGTATCTAACTTCAGTAAAAGTATAATCATTCAAATGTAATTAAATATTAAAAGTGCAAAAATGTACCGTAGTTATATTATTGCATAACTTATTTTGAACTTTTAAAAATCGTTATGTTTATTTTCAATGAATCTGCTGATCATCATCTCAATGAATCCATTGTTTCTTTAAAAACAATAGTGTTCAATTCTATTAAAGTTCATTCTTCAGTGTTTGTTTAATCTCTAACATAGTTAAAAATAAATGGCACAACCTATCAGTAAAGCTGCTCATAAAGCTCGTAATGAGTCTCCCTCTGGGAAGCAGTGGAGGAACACATTGGGCTTTAGGGCAAGGTCTTAATAAATGTAGTTCCCTCACACTAATGGAGGAATCTGAGGGGTTACTCTACAAACAGCACGGGCTAAATAAGACTTTCTAAAGCTGAAACACAAACAACCGTTACCTGCTCTCACTTTGAAGAGAAGGAGGAAACAACGAGGACAGACAATATGAAATGATTACACACATGTCATTGATGCAGGGAAGCAGGGAGCATTTGACACTTAAAATCCAGATTTAGGGCCTTTGTTATTAACGAGCATCTCTAAACGAGGGGAACCTTAACGAGGGGAACCTTAACGAGGAACGTCTGGCAGAATTAAGCGTCTGAAAACCTTGTGTGTTTTTCTGAGCTATTCCAACATGAGCCATCTGTGTTAAAACAGTCTGCCACTGGGAGTCTCTGAATGAGCACTGCTGCATCATGGGAGTTGTAGTTTCCCCCTAGTAAGGATTCCTCCAGTGTTTATGATCCAGGAGGTCGTTAGCCTCTCCGTGGATAAAGCAGTATTTCTCTTACATTTCATTTTTTTAATAACATATCATTTTTTTCTTGTGAATATACCACTTTTATTTCAACAAAACAACAACAACATACTTTAATATTGTAAATTCTGAATTGTTCTGGGATTATTAAACCTGTCCTGTAACTCTATTTATTATTGCAACGGCCCTAATACGCCGTCAAAGGAAACGCACTGTTATCCTGATTAAAATTACAAATGTTTCCTAAACATCTGGCATAATGTAAGTACACAGATCAACTGAACATATAAGATAGGTCTAGTTGTTTTAAGTTCATGTTTAATACATGAAATCCCTGTTCTTACCGAGGCTGGTCCCTCAGACAGGTTTTTAAATAACTTTTGTGATGTTTATTCTTGTATAGACACGACTTTTAATCTTAGAAAAGATCAAAGTATTTTCGTACAAATATGTGATTTTTTTGTGAATATACAACGTAAGGATTCCTTCAATGTTTATGAGCCAAGAGGTCTTTCACCTCTCAAACAGTGGATAAAGCAGTTTTTATTTTACATTTTTTTTAGATATTGCTTCTTGTATAAACTACTTTTAATCTTAGAAAACAAGTATTTTTTGTGTGAATTCTGTGATTTTTTGCCTAAATATGTGATTTTTTTCTTGTGAATATACCACTTTTAATATCCGAATATCCTGTTACCTTGATTAAAAATCATACATTTTTCTTAAACATTGGGCACAATGCAAGTACACAGATCAACGTAATATATAAGATAGGTCTAGTTATTTTAAGTTAATGTTTAATACATGAAATCCCTGTTCTCTCAAACTGAATAAAGCAGTATTTATCTTACATTTCTGGAGGTTTTTAAATAACTTTTGTGATGTTTGTTCTTATATAGACACGACTTTTAACCTTTGAAAATATCAAAGTATTTTTCGCATGAAATCTGTAACTTTTCGCCTAAATATTCAACGTAATATATAAGATTATAGGTCTACTCATTTGAAGTTAATGTTTGATACATTAAATCCCTGTCCTTACCGAGGCTGGTCTGAGAGTTGGGGTTGACGTATTGATCCTTGCTCCACTCCACCATGCACTTCAGGATGGAGACCAGACACTCCAGACCTTTCTTCCTCAGAGTCAGCTCCTGGGAGAAGGGATGTGACATTAAAAAAGCATTAGAAACAGTTCAAATAAAGCTAAATATCTAAATAAAAATAGAGAAATGCTCTCACTTGAAAGGGAGTTGTTCCGAGTTCATGTCCTCCGCGACCCTGAGCGATTTTGGACAAATCGTTCACTAAACGCTCGAAGATATTTGCAGCGTTCAGATCACAGTCGTAGTTCACGTAGATGTCCACCACACTCTGAGCATCTGAGAGAAACACAGGAGAACATATTCAAAACACACTGAAGACATCATGTTTCATCCCACAGGCCGTCAGACTGCTAAACACCTGAACCTTTGAAAGAACATCCAGAACATCCATCTGTTGGCATCGTGCTAATTATTTATCTAATATATCATATCCCATGTACTTGTACTCTTCTTGTACTATTTCTATTTTATTTGTATTTACTTGCACATCTCAAAACATTCTCTTGCACTATGTTATCTGTTTTATCTGTTCTATGTCCTATATTCAGTATCTCCATGTTGCTCTGTGGGAGGAGCCTTCAGTTTTTCATTGCCATATCTCCACTGGAGCTGCTGAGCACATGGTGATGGAGACTTGAATTGAATTGAATTAATAACGTGCAAATCACACATTTGTATTGCATTGTATTCATTGCAGGGGTTTGTGTTCTCTTTTTCTGAAAGTGTGCTACTTCAAACTAGACTTGCACTGATTCCATCTATAAAGTAATCTTTAGTTGAAGCTCTAATTCTATAGAGTGGTCATGTGTCAACAGAACTCAATTAAAAAGCACATATTTGCTATGAAACAAGGTAAACACACTTTTTTGTCAGAAATCAATAAAAACATTGGATGAATCCATGAAACAGTTTGTGTTGCTATATCCATATGTAAAGTTTATAAGAACAGTATTTTTAAAGGGAACGTTTTTATATAAAAGAGAGGAATTTATGGTTTTGAATAAACCCACAAAATGACCCCCTTATGTTTTACGGTTCCTGGAGGAGCCTGTGAGCTCACTTTCATTGCCACATCTACACCGTAGCTACAGTACGTACACATGACAATGAAAGCCTTGAATCTGGAATATAAACATGTATTAGATGAGAGGAGACACACACCTGCACATATTCTGGTGAGGGTCTGGATCACCATCCACTTGTGGTCGTAGGAGCTGGTTGACGTCTCCAGGATGTAGAGGAAGATCTCTTTGAAGAACACCTGCAGAAAAACACACCTTTACCTTCCTGCAGAGCACCAGAGGGGGGAAGTACTGGAGTACAAATACGTTACTGTACTTAGTACAGTTTTCTGGTATCAGTACTTTACTCCACTACTTATTTTTCTGACAACTTTTTACTTTCTACTTCTTACATGTTGAACTCAAATACCTGTACTTTCTACTTCTTACATGTTGAACACAAATACCTGTACTTTCTACTTCTTACATGTTGAACTCAAATACCTGTACTTTCTACTTCTTACATGTTGAACACAAATACCTGTACTTTCTACTTCTTACATGTTGAACCCAAATACCTGTACTTTCTACTTCTTACACTTTGAACAGCTGCTAGTTATGGGTACTTTTTACTGAAGGTAAGTTTCAAAGCCTCTTTACTTTCACTTGATAAAGAAGTTTAGTCAGTACTTCTACTTTAACCAGAGTATTTTTATGAGTATGTGTACTTCTACTTGAGGAAAGGATGTGTGTACTGTTGTCATCTCTGCAGAGCATGCAACACACTCCAGCAGGAGGTAGAAACACACACACACTGATTTATGAATGATCTTCTGTTATATTCTCTCCACTTCGATGTGTAATATCCCAGAGGAGGTGTGAAGCTGCGGCTCCTCTGAAGAAGAGGTGGGAGGGTTTATTAATATCTCTGCTGTCATTTAACGGATCGGAGGGTTTCCTGCACGTAGGAATGAAAATATAATAAAGCAGAATCTGGACACATGCAGAGCAGCAGCTGACAGGGAGAGAGCGGGACTTTGCACCTTTTCTAAGCTTTATTTATAATGACTTTGCATGAGTTTTAATGTGATTTAAGCTGGTGTTTGTGCACCGTGTCCGATAAAGATTATGCTATTATTGTATTATAAGGAGTAGGATTGTTTTAAACACTTCCAATAACTGCAGAGCGTTGCTAAGTCCAAAATGTAGTGTTTGTATCTTTGTGAATACTGCACTGCAATCTATATTTGATGATGTTTGATAAAAAACTACATTTTCACTGCAGAAAACAGATGCATTTAGTAACACCTCCTTAAATGACATTTAAATAACTAACAAAGTTCTATTTTCCTGTCTTTAAAGGGATGACATGAATATGAAGGCGAGCTTCATGCAAAACATTAAGAGAAGCTTTAAATGTGTCTCTAAAGAAGAGGGACCAATGGAAACGTTGTCATGTTGCCGTTGTTCAGCATGGAAATATTCATTAGCTAACAATGACATTATTGTTCTATTAATATAAAGGGAGGTCAGGTACTCTTTAAAACAGCTG